ACGAATCATATCAAGAGCTGTAAATATAATTTAAAATCATTCTGACACTTTAAAATCCTTCTTTCATAATATCATTTAATTATGCATTAAATCTCCATGATTAATAACCAACCAATTGAAATTTATCATTGATGCATTTGTTCTCTTGCTTGCTTTATAAGCTTTTGAATGATAAATTTTGACAAGAACATTTTTTGATGTGATCATTAAATTGTTAATGACTTGATTGATGGCTTTAAGAATAAAATCGAATAATTTTTCAGCGAAGAATTTGTCACCAATGAAACTCTTTCAACTTTACCTTTTGTGGATCTATACTATGTGAGAAATTATTATAGTTATTTTTTGATATAACAAAATTTCATTAAATATTTTTTTAGGAATTTTTGAAAAATTTTCAAAATTCAAATCGATAATTGCATTTTTAAATGTCTTGTATAGTAAGGAGCTATCTCCTCTATTAATTAATTATCTCTTAGGTGTTTTTAAATCTTTAAAACTTCGCCCATTGAATGAACTTGAAACAGTGATAATTAGAGATTCTAATTTACTACTTAAATGAGTATTTGTTGGAGCGCACAGTTGGACTTTTTTGAATTTAAAGAAATCATTATTGTTGCTAGCTAAGTGTTACATTATCCTGAAATATTCTGATGAACTCATGAATAAGTTTGCTACCAAAATTTCATTACTAAAATTTTTAAACTTCAATTTTTTTTTTGATTAAAATATACCTTAAACTAAATTACTTCTCAATTTGCAAATTGTATTACACGAAAGAAATAGCCTAGAATATCCTAGAATTAACCTAATTTAATTCTAACCAAACCTAACCTAATTTCTTCAAATTTCAGTTTCATCTCGTACAACTCATATCTAATGAGATAGATTTCTTTCACAATGTGTGTATCTTTGAGAGATATTATTCAAGTTAAATAAGTCAAATAAATTTTGACATTTAAACAAAGTGAAAAATGTTTTGCAAATTTATTTGCTTCAATTGGGAAAAGATATTTTATTTTCATTACAATCACTAAATAATAGTATTATTTCCCTTCTTGCTATCGATGATAATATTTTTTTTAGAAAAGATGATCATTTCAAATTTCAAATTAATTTTTATAGTGATAATCGCAACATAAATGATGAGTTGATAAAATTAATCATTTGTAAAATGAATGAGACTGTCTCTTATATCGTTAATTCCGTTGAATTTATCAATGAAAAAATAAATTAAATAGCAAATATCAAATCTATGAAGTAATACTGTGATAATTTTTAAGGAATACATCATTCTATATTTATTTGAAAATTTCTTGCGCGTAAGAAAAAGATGATTACAAATGTTGTTTATTTCCAATTTCTAATTTTAGGAAAGTTTTACTAGAATGTGTGATATTCTTAATTGAATTAGAAATATATATGTATATATATATATGTATATATATATATGAACAACAACAATGATATCAATTTATCATCCAATCATTATCAGTATGAAAACTATGATATCATTGGATGATAAGGAAAGAATTGAGTAATCACTATTATAAATTCACTTAATCTAGCGCATGAATTGACATGTAAATAAATGTATTTGCTAATCATAATTTCATCAATAATTATTTATACTAATTTTAGTCTTTTATTTTTGATATAGAATTTTCACATTAGCGAACCAAAATTGTAAAGTAATTCAAATCGGTGTGAAAACTATTTTCACAAAAATATTTAATTTTAGGGCAAAGCGAAAAATAGTACTAAAAATGAATAGATCAGAGATTGAAACTAATGAATGTAAACGGCAATATCACAGTATAGATAATATTTGAAGAGAATTTATTTTTATAAATGATTTTGGGAATTATTAAAATGCTATTCAGTTTTTGTATAAATATTGTGATAATAAATTTATTAATAGAATATTAGTTGTATGTACCATTTATACCAATTGTACCATTGTAATAGTAGTATATAACAATTGGTACCATACTATAAATGGTACCAATATCAGATACATTAAAACTTTATACACTCATTGTAAAATAAAATATGCATATGATTTTTCTAAAATTGACAAAAATAGCATATTCTGTTAGCTTTAAATATTTTCATGCATAAGCATTAGATTAATTTTGTTTGAATAAATTTTACAATATTGAATATTGTTTAATTTATGGCTTAAAAAAGCCGTAAATTAATCACCTGCCCTTAATCACTTGTGTAAATTGGCTATTTCCATTAATGCAAATTCAAAATTCTTATCATTTGAATATCGTTGAATTAATTTCATTGAAATAATTTATAGGAAAGATTATTATTAACTTTTCTTCACATAAATTAAATTACTAATGTATCCCATTAATTATTTTTAGACAAAAAATGACGAAATATGAAATATGCCTTACCTTAATTAGACATTCATTAAATATGTAAGCAATGAATTTCGATGAATTCGTTTCATTTCAAATATGCAAGAAATGACGACAAATATTTTAGGTACAAAGAAATTTAGAAATATAAAAATTAAACGAAAAATTTTTAATATAATTAATTTTCAAAAAGAAAGGATCTAACAAACGTCGAATAATTTTAACATAGCTAATGAAATGATTATAAAAATGATAATTTTCAAGCTATTTTAGGATTTCTAAAATTAACTATCCAAAAATTATATCTATCAAATTAACTATCAAATTAACTATCCAATTAACTACCCATTTATATATTAACTCATATATTGTTCGAAAAACAGATCTTGAATGTAACACAATACTCTTCCTTATCCATTGCTGATAATTTATTAAAAAGGTGAAAGGTGAACAGTAGTAACTATCAAATTAGAATATCAATTGTTAAGAGGAGGAAAAAAAGCTATCTGAGACAATTGCAAAATTGAGAACCAATTTATGATTCAAATTAATGGGAATATAAGTTTACTAATCTTAAAATAAAATTACTTAGTGCCTACCATCTAATTACCTACCTAACACTCAAATTGTAAATAACAATCAATGCACAACAACAAACAACAATAAATCCTAATAAACTTAGAAACAACTAAAAATTAAATTTACTGCAAAATTATCTTATATGAAATAAATTAAATGGAAAAGAAGAAAGACAATAAGAGAGACAGATAGGATAGTTAAAATATGAATGAAAATAATTTTTGACATGAAAAGAAAGAAAAGAAATTATTATAAATTTTGAGATGAAAGAATAAACAATTTGAAATGAAAGAGTAAACAATTTGAGATGAAAGAGTAAACAATTTGAGATAAAAAAGTAAACAATTTGAGATGAAAGAGTAAACAATTTGTGATGAAAGAATAAAAGAATAAATAATGAAAGAATGAACGAAAAAAATTCTAAACTATTTGCAAAAGTTACAATTCAAAGAAAGCTGTCAGTAAAATAGTTGTGTGTGTAAAGGAATGAATTAATTAATAGGGAAGTTTGAACTTCGAAATAAAAACTTTCTTGACGTATCATTGTCAAAATTTCAACAGAATAAACAACTCAGTTCAAAATAGATCGATTTCTTGTCCTAAACAAACTTAGAATGAACTTCGTGAAGAAATCTCCTTATAAAAGTTTTAATTATAATCACAAATAATGCGAATATGCTCTTTGAACTTTTTATTGTAATCAAAAAGTGCGCCTCGATGTAGCCAAAAGGAATGTTATCAGTATTATCACCACCACTAGTATTACTAATGGTCTTCACTATCAATGTTACTTAAAGTACAGCAAATTCAATTCTATCCGATTAATTTCAGCTCTATTCGTTATATTCCTTAATAATTACATTATTATCAGTATCAGTGTCTTTTTCATCAGTATTATCACCACCACTAGTATGATCACCACCACCACCACTAGTATTACGAATAATCTGCATCATCAATGTTACTTAAAGTACAACAAATTCAACTCTAAGCGATCAATTTCAACTCTATTCGTTATAATCCTTAATAATTATGTTATTATCAGTATCAGTGTTTTTTTTTCATCAGTATTATCACCACCACTAGTATGTTCACCACCACCACCACCATCACCACTAGTATTACGAATAGTCTTCATCATCAATGTTACTTAAAGTACAACAAATTCAACTCTATCCCATCAATTTCACTCTATTCATTATATTCATTAATAATTATATTATTATTAGTAGTACAAGTATTATTTTTCGTATCTTTCATCAACCAATAACACCACTATTCCAACCATATTCATTTATGCTAATTCATCTTTAAATATTAGAAAAAAAACCTACATAATGCCAACTTTGCTAACTGACAGATAAGTTACAATGAAAGTTAATTAAAGTAAGCCGAAAAGTCTTACAAATGATATCATTTATTCATAACACAGAAAATGTCTGTTATACATTGAAATATGACAAAATTGATTCCATGAAAAAGCTTCGTACATTCGAACATTATAAACAAATAAATACTTTATTATCAATAATACTGATATGATGAAGATAAAAGACTGATAAGTTTGAAAGTTTATTTGAAAGTTTATCACTTCATTTGCAAAATATCATAATTATACTTCTAATATTGATTCACGATATTTAACTTTGTATATGAAGATAAAAGACTGATAAGTTTGAAAGTTCCACTTCATTTGCAAAATATCATAATTATACTTCAAATGAAATACTAACTTTTCCTCGTCTAATATAGATTCACGATATTTAATTTTGTATTTAACTTTAGAAATATCTTTTAATTTGTTTCTATTTTCACATGGCCAAAAAGGACATATAAAAATTAATGCAACATTTTAATATCTTTAGCCTGAAATATAAAATGAACAAATTCATTGATGACGAATAATTAATGCAAATTCAATGATGACTGAATAATTAATGATTAATGCTAATCATGAATTAGAACAGAAATAAACAAATAATAATCAGGTAGAGAGAGAGAGAGAGAGATATTCAAATTGTATTAATAGGAAGTAGAAAACAAGACGATTTAAAAAAGCACATAATCAAAATAAGAATTTTTATTCTCTAAATTATCATGATTGTTGTATAAGCTACAATCAATTAAAGTAATCCATTTAATCGACCATGTACGATCACATGCTGCATAGTATGGCCATGCTAATTCATTAATTTCATTTATGAATTTCCTAAATAATTTAAAATTAAAATTGATTAGTAATTAGTTGAATTAAATTATGAAAAAGTGTCAACGAGAACACTTTAAATATATATCTTGTAATACAGAAAGATTCCAATTAATAAAATTAAAACATTTTCCAGTATTTTAAAGTAAACTTCTTTTTAAGACCACAAAATAGAAATGCATTATCGTATTCATTAATTATCGCTGAAGGTAAAAAAAATTTTTTTTGTTAATTAGATGAAAAATTTTATGAATTACCAATCTGTTTTATTTCCAGGTATACAAGTACTTTGTGGTAATGCATCATTGTGTTGCAATAATACATAATCATAATATAATGTATGATAAGGATTTTGCCGATCATTCTCATATTCCATTTCAACTTTTGTTGAAATAGCCTAGATAAATTAATCATCATATTGCAAAATTTTCAAATTTATAATTTAGCAAAATTTTGCTACAAAATTAAATTCTTCCATTTTTGAAATTATTTAAGTTAATTTAATGAAATTAAATAAAATTCAATTTGTAAAATATTATACGGAAAAAATCAATAACAAACTTTTGAATTAATAATTTAAAAAAAATTCATCAAAGTTTACTAGAATTTGTTTTTCAGTTAATGTTATTCGTGTTTGCCAAATGCCAGCTTCTTGTCTATTAAGTCCAATCTTGAAACCGCCATCCTCCCAAATCGGTTTACATATGTATTGCAATTCTGATGTACTCAAATATTCTTTGGAATTTGTTTCAATGCTTGTTTGAATCGTTTTTTGTGATGATGAAATTGCTACACAAATCTAAAATGCATTTTGAGAGTGTTAAAAATATTTTGCAAATTAAATGTCTGCAAATATTTATCAGTCATTTTAATTATTGCATTTTAAATTGCTAATGATTTAATTATCTATAAGCTTAAAATGCAACACAAACGAATGTATTATATTTGATGCAGTACCTGATTTAACCTAATTTTGTACCTGATTTTTGACATATGCAATCTATTACTGCACTCTCATTAATTTTTACAATAATTTAATATTTCAAATTAATTAAAGATTTAGTAATTAGGTAAAATAGATGATTTAAAAAAACAAACAAACAAACATACATGGCTTATTTCAAATGGTATCTGATTGTTACCAAATCCATGTACAGATGATAATAAGATAACATTTAAAACAAATAATATAATTGTTAATAGTAATGATGTTATAAATAATGTCCAATGGAATCCTTGTGAAAAAAACCTATAAAAAATATATATACTATTCATTTAAAATATTTTTATTTATTTTTAAACATTTAAAAAATTGAAATACTTATCAATCACATTAATAATTATAATGAATTAATTAACACTAATTAAATGTTCGAGTAATTATATTTCCATAATATGTCAATGTATAAAATTTATACCTGACAAAGGAAGTTGAGCATTTATGACGATGATAAAAACTTCTTGAGCTACAGATGTAATGATAACAGCATGGCGCACAACAGGTTAATATTGATAACAAATATAAAATAAGGGCTAGTAAAAATGTTAAAATAACTTTTAAAATAGGTGTCAATAAGAATCGAAGCTGAAATTTATACTTAATTAAACATCATAAATTGCAATTTTTAAATATGAAATGAGAAAATAATTCAAACAAAACGTTTTATTGCTTTTTAGTTGTTTCAAAAATATTTCAACGCTGAAAATAACAGTATTTATACCTTAAGTAATGCATTCCCATGTAATTGTTCATTAAATTTTACAGGTACATTTTGTTGTTCATGATTACCTTCTACCACAGGTAAATAGATCTTTCGAACGCTATATCTAATTGGCCATAATTCATCGTAATCATTTAAACGTCCACAATTCCTTAAATTTATAAAATTATAAATATACTCTAATTAACTATTCAACATATGAAAAAAAATTGATCTAATATTTGATAAGAAATTATGTAATCAGTGAAATCTTTTGTTCTCTTTGAATATTTCACATAAAATTATCATTCGTTTATCAGTTTCCACTGATTGAAAGATTGAATATTTTATTATGCAATCAGTGAAACCTTTCGCTCTCTTTGAATATTTCACATAAAATTATCATTCGTTTATCAGTTTCCATTGAATGGAAGATTAATTGAATATTTTATTTATATTTTCTTTCTTTGTCTAATAAAAATATTTCCTAATTTATTCACTTATTGTTTGCTCATAATTTACGACGAATTTCTTCGCTTATTTATTTGTAAATAAAGTTTGATAAAGAAAATACTTTTGACTCAAATTTAATTTCAATTGTTCACAGATTGTTGGTTGTCGGATATATGTATCATCATGTGATAAAGGTTTCAAAGGAAATATCATTCGACGATATGCGAAATATAACATCACTAAACGCCATAGAATACTTATAGTTGTTGCTAATGATGATATTATCAGCGGTAATTGAAAAATCTGTAAATTTTTTGTTGCTTAAAATTTCAAAATTTTAATGAAACTCATAACTTTTATCAAAGTGCCACATTTCTTAGAACATTCCGAAATATTTCTATTGTAAGTCTTTTCACATATGGCAAACTTTTAACACTTACTTATTGATAGCTTATCAACCGATCAAATCAGCTTGGCTAAACTTACAGCATCATAAATCAATTTTAATTTCAGGTGATTGGAAATCTGAAGCATCCTAAATTTTAGATGATTAGATGATTAAAAAATGCGAAGCATCCTAATCTTGAAAAATTTTTAAAGTGATTAAATTCAAATACGTTAGTGAAAATAAACAGACTTGTGGACCAATACATTGGCAGGAAGTAATAAAGATAAAATTCATAATTGTCAAAGGCATGTCGTGAAGAATCATAAATAGGAATGTTATTCGGAAATTGTTAAATGCCTGAAAATTTTTTCGTTATTGAATTGGGAATTTTTCTCACTAATTAATGCAACTTTCTTTATTTTATGACTTAATTCTCATATTGATTTTACTCATCCTCCATTTCTTGGTCTAAATTCTTAAGTTTTCATAGTTATAATAATTGCAATACAACTATTGTTGCAGTTTCCTATTTACTTAATTACTTACTTTAAGCAATTTTCTATTTACTGTAATATAGATTCTAGATTAAATTTGGATTAAAATTAATTCTAGATTAAATTTAACGAAAAAAGAAAAACCTGAACCCATTGTATAAATGCTTCATAAATGATAGCAAAACCACTTCGATATGGAACGATATCAAGACGATGTGCAAATGCATTTTCAATACAAAGTACCTAAACTTTTTAAAGAAAATATAAGAGGAAAAATGAAAGATAGAAATGATAATAATATTTATAACAAATTGTTGACCTGAAACTTTATAAGAATATAGAAAATAGAAATCGAAATGAAAATTGAGTACTTAAAGTTGAAGATTTTGAAATGTATTTCTCAATGCAAATATAATTTAATTTAAGCAAAAATTCCAGCGCATTTTAGTTTGAGTAATAAGTTATTATTATTGTTATTATTATTATTATTATTTATAATTATTGATTCAAAGGAAATTAATTCAAGCTAAGGTAATTAATGATAGAAACAAAAGCAAATTAAACAATAATAATAATTTTCTATTAGAATTTCTGAGCTTTTTCAAACTCCAGAGCAAAACTATCATTAGAGTTATTCATTTTGAGCGTTTTCATCATCGTATAATACTTTACCTATGGCATTATCATTGGATAGGATCTTATACAATAAGGTGAATCTATTCATCCATTTTCTTGCAAGCCACATACCTTTCAAAGGTTGGATACAATTAACGAACAAATTAAATAACCATATTTTAAATTACTACTAATTAAATGATAAAATAAAAATTAACAAACCAATAGAAGTGATGTTAGCATAGAGCCAAAAACTGTTGTCGAAACAAGTGCTATAGCAAGCCAAGTCTTTAATGGAAATGATGTGATATAGCCACGAAGAGTGAAATAAACAAAAATCCAATCGCATAGATTGGTAAACGAATAGATAACAAAACTGATCGCATATAGCGCATGCATCGTACGACCTAAAATAACCATTTTTAGTGCATTTATTTTTTTAAAGGTTAATTTTGTGGAAAATTGTTATTTTGATGTCTTTATTGACATACTACACTAATGATGGCTTAGTGATAATAATAGCAATTAATGCTTTAGTGATAGGGATAACAGCAGTTATCATTATCATTTTGTTTAGTAGTTCGAATTAACATCCTAGGCTTATAAAAAATTTTTATTTTGATGTCTTTTCTTTATTAACATACTGCACTAATATTGGCTTAGTGATAATATTAGCAATTAATGCTTTAGTGATATGAATAACAGCAATTATCATTATCATTTTGTTTAGTAGTAGCGATATATGATTTTAGATTTATAACAATGATATTCTTGTTTCTATTTTTAGAAAGATTTTTTCTGACATTGAATTTTTTAAAAAGTTTAACAATTATTATTAATTTATATTTTATGATAAAATTGTTGATATCATTTATAATTATATAAAAATTAATTTGATATTTATGATTTTCCTTTTTTCATACTTTTTATTAAAAATACAAAAATTTCAAATCTTTAAATTTTTGATAATTTTTCTTTAGCAATTAATTTAAATGTGATTTAATTAAAAATTTACCTTATGCATAGTTTATCTGATAATCTCTTATAAATCCATAAACTGAGAAACTGTTATCATTATTATCATTGATGCAAAATATACGATAATTCTAATCGCTTTAAAACAAAAAGAAGAAATTATAATTTTTCTTTTTAATCTTTTCGTCATTATAATAATTTTTTCGTCATTATAATAATATAATTATTATAATTATTATAATAATTTTTTAAATTCATAATTTCCTTTTAATTTTCCTCTTCTATCGAAGCTTTTTTTGTTTGTTGAATTTAAACTAAAAATGAAAAATTTCCCTTAATCATTCATAAAATCTAAAAATGCTATATAAAAGAATGGAAGAAGAAAGAAAGAGAGAGAGAGGGAGAGAAAGAAAGAAAATTTCATGATAGTATGTAAATTATTATGACAGGCAAAATAAGTAAAATAAATTGACAAACTTTTCAATGGATGAAACATTTCTCAAAAATTTGTTGAAGCAATAAATGAATTGGAATTGCTGATGTTTTTAACTGGAATAATTAACCATTTTTCATTCACAGTTATGAAAGGGCTGAAGTGTTTTTAAAATTTAACACACTTAATAATTTAATGGTACATAAGTTTTATCCCTCTCTCTCTCTCTCTCTCTTTCTCTCTCTCGTAACTCATCGTCATTCAATTATTAAAACAAAACATGAAATAGCTTAGATAGGATGCGAAATAAAATTGAATAAATTTTAATTTATAGCTATATCTATTTAATTTATTTATAGTTATATCTAATTTGCATAATTTATATCGATAATAAGAAGAATGAAAATTAAGCAAAAAATAATTAATATAAATTTAAAATTTATAATTAACAGTTTTTATTTTATCATTTAATACTCTAATTTTGATTTTTTTAATAGTGTTCTAAATTATGATTAATAAATTTAAAATTAAAATTTAAATTTTATATTAATTTTTTATTGGATTTTTCTTTGCTAGTAATTTTTACTCAATTTGATAAGTTTTGAAATTCAAATTATATGCATAATTAAATGGCTAATAATGATAGCCTTTTCTTTTTTTTTTCTTACTTTCGACGTTTCCTTTTTGTTCCATGTCGAAATTTCAACATGCACTATTCAACCATAAAATTTCTATAAATAAAACATTTGCATTGAATGTTTACGACAATCGCTAACAAAGTTTATTTAGTAGCGACAAAATATTATATTATTAGTAGCATAATGTATCATTAATATATAGCATGGTGTATCATTATTATATATCATTATTATATGATTATTATATCGTTGAAAAATTCCTTCGAAAGCTATTTTTCCTTCGAAAGATTAAAGTGTTGCAAATCTTATAGTTTGCTCGTGGTATTTTGTTTTTGTTTACTCTTAAAATTTGATTAATAGTTTGAGATTGTAAATAATTTATTTGTTTACAAAAATATTTTAGCCTTTAAAAATTTTTTTTCATAATAAATTATAGGAAGTGAAGAAAAACAATATCTTTTGTAATAGAATTAAATATAAAATAATTGATGAAAAAAGTAAAACTATTATTAAAATTACTATTAATTATTATTAAACAGGTAAAATGTTGCACCTGTTCATTTATTTCCTCATTCTATCTCATTTTAATTGAAAAAATATTTTCAAAAACAATGAATTATTTAAATTATGTTTTATTGTTTTTATATTTTAGCAATAAAATTTAAATTCAAAAAAAAAATAGTAAATTATAGTTTTAGTGAGAAATAGTAATTTATGAAATGGATAGAGAAAGTGTCAACAATAAAGTATGATATATTAAAATAAATGATGAAATAGAAAATAAAATTTTTTAAAAGAAAATTACATTTTTTAAATGGAAAAAAGAAAAAGGGAAAAATTAGATCCAATTCACAAAAACTAGCATTTTATTCATTTTGCATGTTTGCTGCTGAAATTTCGACTACCAATGCTACAAACATTCACTAAAATAAATCTGAAATTCAATCTAACGAAATTCTAAAGGATAAATTGATTTGTTGTTTAAAAGAAATCCATTTATCTTCTGGCTCTTCTCAAATATCCTGCATAAATTTTTTTATTTAAAAAATCAAGAAATATTGCAAATCTGGTAAAATGGATTTTTGGATATTATTTGAATTTTCTTTTTGAAATTGAAAAAGAAAGTATTCCTTATTTTAATGTTATAATGAATTTAATAAATAAAGTTGGACAAGCCGTGGCATAAATTGTAGTATGATACAGTAATGTAAGTGATCGGATGTATTTTGTGATAGATGTGGAGAAAAATGAATTTTATAAATAAAGTGATACAAACCGTAGCATAAATTATAGTATGATACAGTACATTTAGGAAAAGTATTGTATTCGTATCTTTTTTTATTTATTTAGCGATTTATGCAAATATTCATAGTAGTAAAAAACTGACCATTTAGTAGTGGAAGAGTGAGAGCATGAAGTGGAAAGCCTGGTGTATATAAAACATTCATTAGCATCAGAATGTTTTCAGAACTTTGACTTGATATAGATGTTGGATTGATTGAATCGGATGACATTATATCTGGCATCGACATCTTATCAATAATCGAACTACAATTATGATGATGATTACTACACATATGAATATTAATTAACAATAATTTATTTTTAATAAATTTAAATTTTTATAATTTGTAAGACTTTTTCCCTGGGTGAATTTATGAAATATCACAGTTTCAAGAATGATGTAAACTAATTAAAAATTAATTGGTAAAAAAGAATGCAAATAGTTTGTTGTTTACGAAAAATAATTTTTAATCATTTTTTGTGCAATAATAAATAATTATTTAATTGCAATCAAACAATTGAAATTTTAACAAACAAACGATAATATACTTTTTCTATTGATAATTTATAATTAAATTAAGTTCAATGAATTTTAACGATGAATGAATAATACACAGTGATCATTTGATAGAATGCTTTCTAAAATGAGCCATTTTCTAAATATGATGAAAATACGACAAAAGAAAAGTGATAGTTTGTTGAAATTCCAAAAGCATAAAAGATAACAATAGTGAATCAGTTGGGCAATTAATGAAAATATTCAGTGTGCTTCATGGGTCTCAATCTCATCCTCTATGATCGATAATTTTAGGAACCATCAGTTTTGTTACATCATCCATTTATTTTAGTTCCGGCTTTCTTTTCATAAATTCTCATAAAATTATACTCTTTTCCGATACTTCATATTTCATATAGTAATGAATGCTAATTTCATATCAATTCATCAATGAAACATTTATTGGTATATCAGCGTATACTGTAATATACAGTATGCGCCGTTGTACGCAGTATGGTATACAGTATGTAGTATGGTATACGTTATCAACAATCGATGAATTTCTTTTGGAAAAATTATTTTCATAATTAAAGTAATTTTTTGGAGAAAAAAAGAAATCAGATTTATTTATTTGAAAACATGCTAATTAGTTATATTATTGTCATCATTTATCATGTTGAAAATGATATGATATAATGCAATTTGATATATGTAATTTTGGTAGCATTCTAAATCAAAATCTTCTAGCATTGTATGCGATGAATAACATTTAATTTCAAAAAGATGACATTGAAATCAAAATATTCATACTGTAACTTTCAATGGAAGATTCCAAAAGTCTAATTGTAAAGAACAAAAAAATTGCTATGCTGAATTAGCTTCTTAACAATCCTAAAAAAGAATGAATGCAGTAGACTGCACAGACTAAATGAATTTAGCAATTTATAAATTAATCAATTTATAAAGACTAAATAAATTTGGTAATTTATAAATTAGGTTACAAGAAGATAACATGGAACTGAATTGATGTATAGGTAAACTTCGTAATCGTGATCAAAATTACCATTATGATAATTACAATCTTGTGAACAGATTTCTTAACATTCTCTCATAAAGTTAACAAAAATTTTGATTTGTAATAAATAAAATTCAAACAAATTTTTAGGCTTTCTAAAATTAATTAATCTTAAATAATCAAATAATAATTAGACAAGTTCATTTTAATGTTGAAATATTTCGTTGATATATGCCTAAATGATACTGCTATTGATATTGAAACATTTTCTGAAACCGATATCAAATTTTCGATACATCTTTTAATACATAAATTAGTTTTATGACAGAGGCGGATAGCTTCTACTAATTAATTTATCCTTCCTAAAGCAGCCTTGCAACGATCTAACTTAATACATAAATTTTGTCCTTCTGCAAAATGCATTTTTTAGCTCTGATTGCACAAAAATTACTGCCAATTAACAAATAAATTTTATGGCTGCAAATGTAAAAACAAAATAATAATTAGCTACCAAACAAATTAAACTTTTTTAGATTAATTAAAATATAAAGTAACCTAAACACGAAATCACCGTAATCACCATAATCATTTTATTATCACATTTCAAAAATTTCTACATGAACAAAATAATAATTAACTACCAAACTTAAAATATCAAAAAAAAAAACAAAACAATAATTAACTACCAAACAAATTAAACTTTTTTAAATTAATTAAAATATAAAGTAACCTAAATATGAAATCACCATAATCACCAAGATCATTTCATTATCACATTCCAAAAACTTTCCACATGAATATTATTTCTTTGTATATGCAAAATTTTACAAAGTAAATAAACAAATAACACAATTGTAAATATTGTTAAACATTGTTTTATCACATCATCTACATGCAGATTAAAAAATAAAAATTTTAAAAAACCTTTTTGCATGATCATTCAACAACATTATCCAGAGAATTGCTATTGTTGAAACAGAAAAGGCAAAAAACAGCGAACGCTGTCAATCATTGATAATTTCCAACATTTATCAAAAAAGTAAGAGAAAGGAAAGAAAAAAACGAATCATCCACGGATCATATTTATTTATATGTAAAATAAATTATTATAAAACTGTAATTTACCTTTCTTTCTTCTTTTCCACAAATTTAAAATTCATTGATGACAGTATTGGTTGTAATTGTTAGATTAATAACTATATGAATTATATGATTAGACAATAATGATTGTAATTATTTGATTAATAATTATATGAATTATATGATTAGACAATAATGGTTGTAATTATTTGATTAATAATTATAATAATTATACGATTAGATGAATATGTAATTTTTTTAAGAAAGAGCAAAACTTTGCAAGAAAAAAGCTTTGGCAGAGGAAGTTTAGTAAAGATTATTGGAAGAGACACTGTTGACAGATAAATTAACAAAGACAACAATATAGCATACATTAAATTTTTCAAAAGATAAACTTAAAAATGAAGCATAATTTTTTAAGTAGGATATCTATCAATGAAGCAAAAGTGTGTATGTGTTTGTGTTTGGATGTTTCTGTGTGTGTGTGTGTGTGTGTGTGTGTGTGTGTGTGTGTGTGTGTGTGTGTGTTGATTTAACTGGATGCTAGCAATTTGATACTGGCACCAAGGCTTTTTTGCTTTTCCTAAATTACGAATTCATAAATCGTTGTCAATTCTCTTGGGCATAAAGTTATCTTTCACATATAACAGCAAATAGTCAACCAATTTACTACAATTACTTACTCATCCGAAATATTTTTCCATTTAAATTGAAAATTATCATTATCATACCTAAAAAATAACTAACAATGATAATGATAAAATCAATTTATAATTTAAACTCTTAAACTATAAAATTAATTTTCTTAACTATAATTTATGCGATAATTTTCGTTTTCCTTTCTCATCGAAATTTCTCAAAAATTTCGACCGTTCCAATTTCTTACTTATCCTTTTTCTATTTTAGGTTTTTTTCATATATTTCTCGAAACTCTTCAAATTTTTGAAAAAGCTTAGCTTTGGATTGCATTCACATATAATCTGAAATAATCCAATGGAATGAAAGTATGCCATTTAAATTTATTCGTATTTTTGAAAATCTTTTGAAGAATTAAATCTTTTTCGTTTTTTTTTTTTTTGGAAAATAACGATTAAATATTAAATTAACTTTTGCAGCCGGCTGTTAGTAATCGTTACGTTATTTTAACAAAAAAATTTTAAAGGTACCACTGAAATTTCTGAATCCTTAAAAAGTTAGTTTTTCAGGAAATCAAAGAATCGATTGCATGATTCATGCAATTATTACCAGTTGTAAAAACATTTGCTGATAGTTAAAATTTCTGAATTTCAAGTTCCACTTTCATTTGAATCGAATAGAAGTGATAACTTTAATAGAAATAAATGGATCGCACAAATACGCGCCAGCTATTAGATAGAATGAAAGATAAAAACTTAACTATAATTACTACATAGAGTGAAAAATGAAAACTAAACTTTAATTATTACATCGAATGAAAAATAAAAACCTACCTGTAAGTTTAAATTTTTTCGAATTAAAATTTCTTTAGAGAAGATAGATATGTTTGTGTGATATGTTAACAAACGATGGTTGAATGGATGATGATGACAGTTAATGATATTCAAAAGAATATTTCGTATGAATTTGATTTTGACATTAAATGAATGGATGATAGTGAGGAAGAACGTTTCGTGTGAATGTTTCCGGAAATGGATCTGTTTATGTTGGAATAAAGCCGGAATTTCGTGCAAAGATGGATTACAAAATAATGCCTAATTTTATTTCCAGCCATTTTATATGCTTCCATATATTTGAATGAATCTATCCATTGCTTTGTTACTTCAATTGAAGAGAATTTTCAAAATGAAAAANGCCGGAATTTCGTGCAAAGATGGATTACAAAATAATGCCTAATTTTATTTCCAGCCATTTTATATGCTTCCATATATTTGAATGAATCTATCCATTGCTTTGTTACTTCAATTGAAGAGAATTTTCAAAATGAAAAATTCAAAAATTTAGTTGAATTTTAAAATCACAAATTTACTTCCAACACTCTAAGGAAAATTTGTATTTTATTAACTTTGTATGAACAAAGAGAAAAAAGAGAGAGTATACTATATTATTTTATAATACTATTTTATTGAATTTATGAACAGCTGGCGGAAGTTGTTTATTTCTCTTATTAAATTTGTCAAATTCACTACCAAAGGGATCTCAAGACTTTAGACAGAGAATAAAAGGATCATTAACGAACAATAAGAGAGGAAATAATGATATACCTAATATATGTATAAATATTAAAGACTATAAAATAAAAAATATAAAAGAAGTAAAGTAAATTTAAAATTAATCAATTCAATGTTAAATTCTGCAAATTTAAAATACTAAACAGCGTAGAAGGCAATGAATCCGATTTCTTATTACAGAAAGAATAGAATAATAATATCTACATTGTTTACATTTCATGCTATCCTATATCAACTGAGGACTAATTTTAAAAAAATGTATAAATTACCCGTAATTATTTCGTCCAGTTCTTTTTAAAAACAGTATTGGAGAAAAATTGAACCAGATATCTATCATATTACTGATTTTTTGATACATTATCGAAGATAACTGGCAGTATTATTTTTTTATTGAAGTTAATTGATATTAACTTCAAGTATTCTTTGATCTTA